AGTGTTTTGTGCACCCATCAGCAGCTTGACGTAGCCACCAGGCGTCAGTTTGGCTTTGAAAACAGTGGAGTGAACATCTATTTTGTTGGTGTCTTGAATATTTTTACATTTTTCATTGAAATTATTGGTCATTCTGAGCTTTAGTTAACATATTGATAATGTATAGCGCAGTGCAGTGTTGATTTATATAATATAATCTTGAATTACACCTAGTGAACTAAAAAATTTATTGGTGAAATGACAGCATGAAACATGGGTTCACTGAAAGGTGATTTTTCCTCCATCCCCACTTCCTTCTCTTCTCCCCTCTCCTCCACCCCACTTCTAATTCCCATCATCATCAACCAGGAACCTTCTACATACACACCTCAAAGTAAATGTACTTTATTGCATTTTTTTTACTTTGTATGTACTTTTCAGTGAGCTGGAACCAATTACCCAATATCCCATTGAAACAATGGATTCGGTTAACGAAATTTTCCGTTAACGAACGACCTTCTGGAACGAATTGTGTTCGTTAACCAAGGGACCACTGTATTTCACTATGCAGTTCATTAAATCGCTTCAGTACGACTCCCCAACTTAACCAGTGAACATCAGTTTGATATGGCAGTCAGTGTGTGTTCTCAATTTCCTCCAAAAAGCAATTGATCTGTCTGTGGTTCAGACCTCACGCGCGTATAAAGTTTACTGTCTTTATAACGACATCCATGATATTATCCATCTTTAATGTTTTATTGCACAACACTTTTCTATGTATAATGCAATGCAAATTATGAAATTGATGGATTGGGTTCACAGTTAGTTTTTCCTTTAATTTTGTTAACACGCCAGCTGTTCTACCCATCTGTATCCAGACTCACAGTTTATACCCAGTCAACACCTAATTTATCCAGTGCCTCTCCCAGTTCCCCTACCAAACTTGCAAAGATGTCATCACCTGTTGTTTTTCCTTTCATTGGTACCAGTTCCACAAACTCTTCTTTTAACTGCATATTTTCATCCACACCGCGTATAAAAACTGCAAGTTGTGCTACATCAGTTATATTGGTACTTTCATCAATTACAACAGAAAATGCAGTAAAGGACTTATCTTTGTCTTTGAATTGACTGTTAACATTCTCCAATTCATTAATTCTCTCTGCAACTGTATTTCTTGAGAGGCTAATGTTTGCAAATGCTTGACGTATTTCTGGGCAAATATCTTCTGAAGCCATCAACATACATTTCTTTATAAAGTTCCCTTCAGAAAAAGGCTTTGATGACACAGCTATTTCGTGGGCAATCCTGTAACTTACTTTAACTGCAGCATCACTGACTTGATGAACACTTAAATACTGACTGCTGCTTTTTCAGTGACTGCTCTAACTCTTTAACTTTGTCTTTACGTAACTTGACACTATATTTATTATACTTCGGAGCATGGTTAATGTCATTATGTCTTTGAACGTTGTAACCTTTGGCAACAGCTACCTGTTGCTTACAAATTAAACATGTCAGTTTTCCATTCATTTCAACAAAAAAGTACAAAATTTTCCACTTTTTCTGTGCCACTCGTTGCTCGTCATTAATTGTTCTTTTCTTTGATAACATGATTATGGGCTCAAAAGTAAAAACAATGGACACTGCTTCTGTTATTTGCAGCGCTCCAACTGCCTTGAGTGACTATGCAGAACTAGTACCAGTGTGACTGCCCAAGCAAGAGCCCGCCACATCAGAGCTATCACTTCTAATACCAGTGTGCGGCCAGTGGTCAGTCCGTCTCACAACTCGTACAGTGGCATGCTTAGAACCAAAATTAATCATTAAAACTATTTCTAATTGCTCTTTCATTGGTGCTGTTGCACTGAGTATTTTATTTTAGCAAACACCAGATGGTTTTATTCAGCTGAGGGAAACACCCACTAGTTAAAGGGCTAACAATGCATTTAGTAGGCCATCACTCTAGCACCAGATACGTACTGGACTGAGATTCACAAAACATCCTACAAGCACTTGCCTTTGAACAGACTCAATAGAATAGATAAAGTCACTAGGCTAAAATAGTATTATCCAATTCAAATAGTCTTAACTTTTTACTTCAAGTGCTACTGTCTTAGGCTCTTAGCTGCTCAAGGTGTAGCTGGAGCAGCCAGTGGGCCTCATGTAAAAGGGTGTCAGGCCACATGCAGCCCGTAGGCCTCATGTTTGACATCCCTGGTGTAGGGCTTGGAGTGAACGAAGGCAAGAAGAACATGGAGATTGGAGGCTGGACAACCTGGCGCTTGAGTTCCTTTAGTATTTCCTTATAAAGAACCAGGAGCTTCTCCATCCTTCTTGAAGTTGACTGATATCTCGATAGAGGGATTGATGTTGAAAAAATAGTCCATGAGTGCCCTACAATACAGCAAACTCCTTTTGAAGTTTGTGACAGTTAAGGTGGGCACCTCCTCCACTTCACCTTCTTCTTCATCTTCACGATGATGCTTCTCGACAAGCTTGGCCAGCTCTTCCTCAGTCAGCTCTTCTCCAGCATGACCCAGGAGCTCCTCTTGTACCTCTTCCTCCTGAAGGTCATTGAACCCCTCACCTTCCACTTGACGGGCAAGCTGGACGATGTGCTGCACGTCCAGGTCGACTGTGGGGAAGCCAGCAAAGTCGTTCACCACCTCTGGCCGTAAGGTCCTCCAGCAGGAGTTAACACAGAGGGCTGTCAGGTCATCACGGCACTGCTTGATGAAGGGGATGCAGTCTGCGATGGAGAACTTCTTCCACATTTTCTGCACTGACTCAGCACCATCCCGTGTGTCATCGTCCAAGGCGTGTCGTATCCTGCTGAAGGTGCGAGTCATGTACTTGGCCTTGAAGACAGGGATGACTCCCTGGTCGAGTGATTGGAGCAATGTTGTGTTCTTGCTGCAGAAAGATCACCTCAACATTTTTGTTTGCAACCTTGAAGGCCTCGGGGTGGCCAGGGCAGTTGTCAATCACGAGAAGGACCTTAAACTCCAGGCCTTTCTCCTGCAGGTAATCCTTGACCTCCCTCACAAAAAAATTATGAAACCAGTCGGTAAACAATACTGCTTTCTTGTTGTGGCAGTAGAAAATTGGGAGGAGGTGCATGTCTTTGTTCTTGATTACACATGGACGCTTGGCATGGTACAGCATCTTGGGCTTGATCATTCGTCCTGCAGCATTGCCATATAGCAGGAGAGAGAGACAATCTTTGGCCACCTTGAAGCCCGGTGCACTCCTTTCCCCCTAGGAATTGAACGTCCTGGCTGGCATCTTCTTCCACCACAAGCCAGTTTTGTCAGCATTAAAAACCTGCTCTAGCTTGTAACCCTTCTCCCGGATAATATCAGCAAAGATCGCAGGATACTGCCTTGCTGCTACATTGTCCGCAGTGGCTGACTCACCAGTGATCCTCAACTTGTGCAGGTTATAGCGCTTCTTGAAGTTATCAAAAAACTACCCCTTACTGGAATTAAAACCTTTCTTTGAGGTATCACCAGAACCACCATGCACCAGCACCACCTTCACCATGCACTTCCCCTTCACCACCTCCCTCAGCATGGAATCAGTCATACAGGACCTTGGCATTGTCACAGATAAACTTCTGGCTGAGAGGGATGTAGCGGCGGTTAAAGTCCTCAATCCAGATGTTAGGGGTTTTCTCCATCTTCACTATAGCTGTATCCCTCACATTAGCAGAAGAGGGGGCACTTAGGGCAATGGCATTACGAATCTCCCTCTCTTTCTTCTTAATGTAGCGGACAGTTGACTCAATGACGTCATAATCCCGGCCACATGCGGCAAAGCTTTGGCCACCGCTAAGTTTGCCCAGCAGTTGTATCTTCTCCATGAGGGTCGTGACCTTCTTCTCTTTCTTCACTTGCTTGGGCACCTTCCCGTAGCTGGATGAAGGTGGTTGAGGGCGTTTGGGAGCCATCACAAGCATAAGGAGCACAGTTGTTAAGAGAGCAGAGTAGCATACGTACGAGACGGACTAGTGTTTATCCTGGAGTGAACACGTGTGGGCCAGCCTCCCGGGACAAGAGAGACACCTTGCGGGACGCCACAAAAATCACGCGCTCCCTGTCTCGGCCACGAAAATGCCGGCAACTTTTAAACTACCCATTGACATCCTTAGGTACATCCAGGGTGTCATCCGCGAATAATCGAAGGCTGTTAATTAAAATCCCACTCAGTACAGTACTACCATTAATAATATAAAGTACAGTTACTTGAATGTTTTAAATTGGCAATCCAGTATTTACTTTACTTTTAAGCAACTTTTATTTTGTATTGTTTTAGGTGAAATAATATAACCTTTTTTAATCAGGTACCAAGTGTTTGTGTGCTTATTGCCGAATACTGCTCGTACCGTATACAGTACTACACTGTACTACCATATACTGTCAATACATTGTACATCATGCTTTGCTTATCATGTACCATAATTATTAATTTTGAAAACTTTTTAATTGTCAATACTATATTTAATAATACTCTCTCAGTACTAGTAAATTGTCACTGCTCACCAAGTGTACAGTGTACCTTAAATATTTTTATGTTTGTAGGAACTTTAGTGTTGTGATTGGTTTACACCACATTCGTTTACCAGAGTAGCATTTGTTTGTAAGAAAACAGTAGTTAACACCGAAAGGTATTTTAGCATTTTGGAAATGCTACAATAAGGTAAAAAAAATTTGTGAGTGCTGTTAAAAAGTAAATGTGGCAAGTTTAGCTGATACTGGGGATATAGCTTTCAAATTGGAGTTTAGGGGGGGTCAATCTAACTGCCAGGTATAGGCCTAGATAAAAAATTTCAGTTGAAATAATTATTAAAAATTTCAGTTGAAATAATTATTAAAAATTTCAGTTAAAATAATTATTGAAAATTTCAGTTGAGATAATTAGGGTTGCCTTATAGGCCACAATATACGGTATTATGTACAGTACAGACTCATATAATATAGTTTGGTACATTTCCATTACAATGTTTTGTTGTTTTACAGAGACTGTGAACTTTGTTGAACCAGTACCAGATGTGCGAGGAGCATCCTATCATGGAGGCCGCGGTGGTTATGGTGGTCGGGGGGCTCGAGGTGGGAGAGGCAGTAGAGGAGGGCGAGGAGGGTACTGGAGTAAAGGAGAGGTCAATGGCAGGTAATCAACAATTTGTATGGATCATCTAAATATTAGGCACCCCAGCTTATTTGACCTGATAATTAACCCTCAAATGTCAGGCTAGGAGAAATTTTACTACCCCCTTAGAAACAGTGTAATTTAGAAAATCAAGGAAAATGATAATGGAATTGATACATGTATCATTGAATTGGATGTGTTATATAGATTGCAAAAATCATATTAAAAATTTCCCTCTCACTCTCCTTTGGGCATAGAAAGGAAGTAAAATAATGGCTGTGACTTCATTGAATGTTGTGGGATCTATCAGTAATGGCTGCTTCGCTATGCGTCACCCATTTTGTGATTTTTTCCACAAACACTCTGGAGGTAGACCACCAATTGCATCTTTTTATATTGAGGTATCCCCAGTAGGCCTAATCCACACTTTATGATAAATAAGATTTATATTTTCTGGTCAAACTAAACAGAATAGTATACAGTATTATAACAAGAGAATTGCACTTACTGTGAAAAGAACAAAGTCCTCATCATAATATTTTTAAAAAATTCCGGCTTTGGGAAAAAAATTTCCGAGGTTGAAAATCGAGAGAATTTTCTGAAAATGTCTTGAATAAAGATGAAAGTTAAAGTATTTTAGGGGGACCTGACCTGACTCAATGTCAGGTGGAGGTAGGGTGGGGGATTAGTGGTTGCATATTACTGACCTTCTGATGGAATGTCAGGTCACCCTTTCTTGGGTAGGGGATTAGTGGGTCTCATGACCTGAAGATGTCTTGAATAAACACGAAACATAGATATTTTATAGAGATTGTGATAAGTGTAAGTATAAATGAACAAAGTTGTATCCCTTCAACATTACATTACATAACATTTTAAAATATGGAGTGAGAAAGCAGGTGTGGGTGATTAGAGAGATGGAGTGGAAAGGAGTGGTAACATGCACCAGTGTTGCCAAGCTATAAGCCTCCATGCAGTCACACAACAAGACCCTCACTGGATGCTTGTTATCTTAATTCCTGTGTGTGTGTGTGTGTGTATGTGTGTGTACTCAAGTATACTAAGTTAATCTCCTTTCCTGGGAGAAGGGTCCAGTTGGAAGGGGGGGGAAAGCGACCCCCCCCCCCACACACACACACACACACACACAAAAGGGTCCCTCATTGTGTCTACAGTTCATTTGTTTTTCATTAATTAGTAAAGATACGCTACTGTAATAATTAATCTGTACTTATTAAGACCTGTACCCTTCATATACAATCAATACAGTATAGTACTATGTATATACCTCAGGTAAAAAATGTCATTCAAGGCATCTTCAGGTCATAAGACCCACTAATTCCCGTGTGTGTGTGTGTGTGTGCGCGTGTGCGTGCGGTCTCACTAAATATTAATTTGCTTGTAGTTGTTTAAAGTCCCGTTGATATCAGTAGAATTGTTGAGACTGTCGATAATTATGGTTCCACTTGTTGTTCACCTTGTCCAAAATAAGGGGGATAAATTATGCACAAGATTAGTGTATATATACAGTGTGATATTTACAAGTCCAAATAGTGTACAGTTAATTAGACTGGCCCCGTGTTCCAGTACTTGAGGCGGGCTCTGTGTTAGACAAGCCGAACTGAGGTGGTCCAGGTACAGATCTTAACTAAGAGGGGTCCAGTTAAAGACTGAATAAGGGCACGGCTGAGACACACCCGTAAAGAGTAATTCCTGCACTCGCCACCAGAGCGATCTATGAGTCAAGCTTCTAGAAGGTTCCTCGAAGGAGGAAGTAGTCAACCCTTGGGAATGTCAAGCAACTCTACAGTCAGCGGTGTTTACATAACGTGTATAAACAACCGGCTGGTAAATGATCCCTTTGACCCATGAATCATTCTAAACTGGTGGTGCAATTATCTATATATTACTTAACTAACTATCTAACATACTTGACGCATTGCAAGTGTGAAGCAAAGTATCCAATTACCACGAATGAGCAATCTATTTAGTGTTTAAAGAGTTACCTACTACTTAGAGTGAGGGTTGCATCATACTGCGACACTCGGATAAGACTAAACATCCGCGCAACTGAAGCCGGGTGTTTAGTCTATCGTTATAACCTTATGAACGACCTCTAACTTCTCCAGGTCACTGAATAATGAATGTTCATAATTATACATCCATGGTTGTAAGTTATTAACTACTTACTCTAATTTATACAGTATGTAAATTATACTGGTAGTGTCAACCGTCCTTGGATGGCTGCATAAAAGAAAAGAATCCTATCACATGAGTATTGCTAATTGCCTACCTTGGTGATGGTCTCCAGTGACTGCCACTATGTACTGCATTAGGCTGCATAATGCATAATATTAGGGATAGCTGCCTGTATAGCAGATTTAGCTATAGCTGGTTTACAAAGCTGCTTCTTTACATAGAAGACTAAAGCAATTATGATTATTATAGTGGTAATCACCGCAAACACCACCAAGGCTGGAGTCACTGCGAGATGAGAATTGTCTGCCACAAATGTCATTGGGTGTCACAAGGCTGCATCATTATCACTCGGTATCCATTGATTCGTCCTTCAACACTGTAATGTTTGTGATCACTTCACTTCGGTGTATTTTCTGAAGATCCAGTGGGTGAGAGGCTTAAACTTGACGACAGTGAACATTGTTGTGGTAACTTATAACATCCTCGTCCCACGGTGAAGCTTCTAGGCGAATCATCAGGGCAGACCACTACAACAGGCAGCTTCTGTGGGAAATACAAATACACAGTACCCTGGATCTCTTCTAAAAGTACAATGTCAAAGTGTCTGTTAACAAAACTACATGACTTTAAATTTGTTCTGTTATTGACTAAGTCCATCTCACAGTTTGAATAAGACCCGCTATGTTAATTCGTGTAGGATAACAAATAAGATTACTTGACTCTTTCTGGCATGTAGCATTTGCTGATAAAGGCAGAGTCGCCATGAGAGATCTATCTTGAGACAACAGGATAGATGTGGAAACGTTAGTTATTATTACAGCTTGACCATTCTCTATACTTGGGAAGGGTGTAATGTCATATTTTTTAAACTCATTTTTATCCACGAATGGCAGATACAATATAATTTGATTGGGTGTGACAGAGACAGAGAGGGAAGACTGTAATAATTTTCCAACCTAGCCACAGGAACAGCAGGCTGCTCCTTGAGGCTTCAGAAGCTTGAGGTTGTCCCAGTGTTCATGTCTTGTTTCCCCTGTATGTTTGTGTTTCAGCTGGTACTTGTGACCCGACTCGTGTTGTACAATTCTATGTGGACCGACGAACATAGGGTCCGTTTTGGACCTTACATAAATTTTAACCATAGCTAGACGACCTACGACATCACCAATGGGTCGTGTACTTTTATTCCTTTCGGCGGTGAACGCGTTAGTCGCTTTTTTTAACTCGTGAGTAATTCGCTGGTGAATTAGTTTGGACTGTCGATACCGTTCGCCGATAAAATCGTCACCGAAAATTCGTTGTCTCCCTACTTCAACCTCGAATGGAAGTCGTCTATCATAATTGTAGAGAGCGAAGTGCGTTGTGTCACCTATGGATTCATGATAAGAACTGTTAATGGAACTTTGTACGTCAGACATAAACTCATCCCAGTTCGTGTTGGTAAAATCCAAGTTACAGTCATCCCTTGGTTATCACACCTAATTGGGACTGCGCCGAATGCGTGATAACGAAAAATGAGATAACGAAAGTACAGAACCTATGGGAATTATTCTAATTGGTTCCAGGCACCCAAGACCCAACTCCAATTTTCCCATTTTATGACCATTTAGACCCACTAAAGATATAGATAATGTTATGGTAAGTATCAGAAACACACATAGGCATGGCTAGGTTTATTACAAAGTGATGAAAAGGGTACGCTCAATACTGTAGCTGTGCTTTCTTTATTTGAGTCCCCCGTCTGAGGAGTCCGTTTTCTCATTGCTTCAGGACGCCTGAGTCCTCCGTTTTCTCTCAATCTTAGAGTGCACCCGAGACTTCTTTATTCCTTAGTAATTCACAGAATTTGAAATTGCAACTTGGATTGCAATTGTTGAGGCAACTGAGATATGTCTGATTACCGCAAATGTGTTATTATCAATTTTATCCTCAATAGATGTAGGTGAAGCAAATGGGTAAAAACACCTGGAGGCAACTGCGTGATAACGAAATTCTCGGCTTGGAAAAATTCGCTATAACAGCAGTTGTGTAGATTTTGATGGAAGCGTGACAACGAAAATTGCGATAACCAAGTGCGCTATAACCAAGGGATGACTGTAGTATGAAGATAATTAAGAACCTTCCTGTTAAGCCATTCAACCATCCCGTTGGCTGCAGGATGATGGGCTGTGATATTACATCTATTAATGTGATACAGTTCACATAATTTAGTTAACAGCGCGTTGTTAAATTCACCTCCGTTATCTGTAAGTAGAATGTTAGGAGTGTCATGCCTGTCGAGAATACGACTCTTAAAAGCTCGGGCAATTATCTCTGCACTTTTATCAGGGACAGGTGCTAGTTCACAGTAACGTGTAAATGTGTCCATCATTACTAAAAGATAGTTATTATTATGATGAGTCTCTACTAGACCACCTATAACATCCATGCTAACCTTCTCCCAAGGTCAAGAGGGTGTAGGACACTTGAGAACGGGGAGAGGTGCTAAAGTAGTACTGTACCTTTATTCTCGTTACAAACTTGACAATTGTCCACATATTCTGAATTCTGTTTAGCCATCTTGGGCCAAAAGTACTTTAACTGCATTTGTTTAATGCATCTGTCCTTGCCTGGGTGAGCTAGCTGTGGAGTGTCATGCATAAGGACTAGTAGCTCGTGTACAAGCGGAGCAGGTATGACTGAGTTACAGTACGAGCATGAACACCAGGTATGTTTTGCCAGCAAAGAACATTATCGTGAACAACAAATTCACGAATAGGAACGGAAGGTTTAATGTCTACATTAGGCGTACTACCTTTTACATAAGACAATATACGTGACCA